CTCAATTGGCATGACACTACACAAAACATCATTCCACCTTCTACTTTGGCGAGTAGTGACTGGGATCTTAAAAGCTTGCAAGCAGCCATCTAGATGCAACGATGGGTCTCTCCTCAACCAGAGCAAAGGAGAATGAAAAAAAAAAACAAAGATTCATGGAAAGAATTAGTCCTAGCAAATGGTACACCATGCGATCTGCAGCCTATATGACACTAGAAGAACTAGATGGTGTCCGGCTATCACGTCAACCACTTGGAGGGGGATATATGTAGGAGATCCTGCATAGAGAGGGAGAAAAATGTGGAACAAAACTCAAAATCATTTGGAAAAGAAAAAGGGAGGGGGGACCAGATTTGCTAGTCTGATAGAGCCTGGTGGAAACACTGAGACTATGGCCCCTAGCTGCCCTTCAGGTCTGGAACTGAGCCTAGTCCTGTGGCTTCCAGCCAAACAAAAGACAGGCATATGAGCTGAACATTTACATTAGGTACATATACTCCTTGGAAAGAACAATAATGGTAGAATGAAGGGCTGTTTATACACAGGGAGACAGCTCAGGGAGCAGGGTTACATAGAGGGATGGACACAGGGAAGAGGTGACTGTTGGGAGGAAGTGGGAGGGGAACTGTTGCATTGTGGTGAATCGTGGTCAATGCCATGAGACAAAATATATGTGAACTGTCGTATGGAAAGTGTATTTGCTCTGTAAATTTTCACCCAAATCATAATTAATTAAACAAAGAAACAAACAAATAAATAAATAGAAAGAATGAATGGTATTGAAGGAAGAAGTCCAAGCTGCACTGAAGGAATTGGCAGAAAACAACGCTCCAGGAATTGACAGAGTACTCCTTGAGATGTTTTAAGAAACAGATGCAATGCTGGAAGCACTCACATGTTTATAACAAGAAATTTGGAAGACAGCTACCTGGCCAACCGACTGGAAGAGATACATATTTGTGCCCATTCCAAAGAAAGGTGATCCAATGGAATGCAGGACTTGTTGAACAATATCATTAATATCACATACAAGTAAAATTTTGCTGAAAATAATTTTTAAATGGTTGTAGCAGTATATCAATGGGGAACTGACAGAAATTTATGCTGGATTCAGAAGAGGATGTGGAATGAGGGATATCATTGCTAATGTCAGACTGATCTTGGCTGAAAGCAAAGAATACCAGAAAGATGTTTACCTACGTTTTGTTGCCTACGTAAAAGCATTCAACTGTGTGTAACATAACAAATTATGGATAATAATGTGAAGAATGGGAATTCCAGGATACTAATTATGTTCATGAGGAACCTGTCCATAGAACAACAGGCAGAACAAGGGTTTACCACATGGTTTAAAATGAGGAAAGGTGTGCGTCAGGGTCATAACTTTTCACCATACTTATTCAATCTGTATACTGAGAAAATGATCTAAGAAGCTGGACTACATGAAGAAAGTGGCAGCAGGATTAGAGGAAGACTCATGAAAAATCTGCAATAAGCAGATGACACAACCTTCCTCGCTGAAAGCAAAGACTTAGTGATGAAGATCAAAGACTGAACACAGCTTTCAGTATGGATTACATCTCAACATAAAGAAAACAAAAATCATCAGAACTGGACCAATAAGGAACATTACGATAAACAGAGAACAGACTGAAGTTGTCAAGGATTTCATTTTACTTGGATCCACTATCAACACCAATGGAAGTGGCAATTAATAAATCAAATGACATACTGCATTAGGCAAATCTGCTGCAAAAAGACCTTAGCTGTTAAACAGCAAAGATGTCACTTTGAAGACTAAGGTGCCCCTGACCCAAGCCATTGCCTTTTCAATAGCCTCATATGCATGTGAAACCAGATCAAGGAATAGGGAAGACTGGAGAAGAATCGATGCATTTGAAGTGTGGTGTTGGGAAAGAATATTGAAGATGCCGTGGACTGCCAGAAGAACAAACAAATCTGTCTTGGAAGAAGTACAGCCCAAATATTCCTTAGAAGAAGAATGGCCAGACTTCATCTCTTGTATTTTGGTCATTTTATCAGTATGGACCAGATCCTGGAGAAGCATATCATGCTTGGTAAAGGAGAATCAAAATAAACCAAACCACTGCCTTCAAGTTGATTCTGACTCACAGCAACCCCCAGTGGGTTTTCTAGGCCATAAATCTTTACGGAAGTAGATTGTCCCATCTTCCTTCTGCAGACCAGCTAGTGGGTTTGAACCATTGACATTCTGGTTAGCAGCGAAATGCATTATCCATTACACCACCAGGAGTCAGGGAAAAAGGGGAATATCCCCCAAAAGATAGATCGATGCAATGGCTGCAACAATGGGCTCCAGCATAGCAGTGATTGTGAGTATGGCACAGGACTAGGCAGTGTTTCATTTTGTGGTACATAGGGTCACTATGGGTTGAAGCCAACTCAATGGCACCTAACAACAACATAACAGGTGAAGGGTATACAAAAACTATTTGTATTATTTTTGTAATTTTTTTCATAAGTCAGAAATTATTTCAAAACATAAAGTTGTTTTTTTTTTAAATCAAGGTACAGAAAAGTATGTAACATACGCTTCAATTTGTGTGAAATAAAAAGGGGTGCATGCATACAGTCTAGTACACACACAAATTATTGAGGAATACATAAGATGTGGTGATAGTCTTTACTTTAGATTTCTGGGGGTGTAGGGTTGGAATGAAAATTGTTGTTCATTACATATATTCTTTTATATAGTTTATATATGTAAAAACATTGTCTGCATACTGATTTCCAATTTAAAAAGCAAATATTTTAATGGTGATTTTGCTATTTCTTCCCAACCCCTCTTTTCTATGAGAACTTAATCTTGCCAACCCAGTTTTGCTGCCCACAGCATTTCAGGAGCCAGCAACAGATGAAGACTGCTGTACTGCAAGCCCCCTATGGGCCAGGGCAGATCTCCAAGTGTCCTGGCGCTTTACTGCCTCTTCCCAGCAAAGATTAGACAGAGGTGCCACCTCTGGCACTGCCAGTAAGCATCTCTGGTATCTCCCAAGAGCTTGCATGTAAATAGCTCCTCTCATTCCTTTGTTCAGTCTTAATCCAGATAAAACTTTTTTTTTTTTTTAATGTTAATTTTGGTGAAAATATACACAGTAGAATATATATCCATTCATTAATTTCTACTGTACAATTCAGTAACATTGGCTATATTCTCACTATATCTACCCATGTTGTTAAACATGTTATATGTTAACTGGTTACAAAGAAGCATATTCTCCATTACATAAAACAAATTGGAAATAGATACCTCCTAGAATTTTTATTTACTATGTTCAAATATTCGGAAGGAAGGTTGGGCAATCCTACTTCCGTAGTGATACTGCCTTGGAAACCCAAGGAGGGGTCGCTATGAGTCGGGGCCGACTCGATGGCAAA